AGGAATTATATCAATTTTTGATGAGTTTGCAAGCTTTTCTGGTCTGAAGATCAGCTTGTAGAAGTCTACACTTTTTATGGCGGGGATAACGCTAGAAAGGCACGAAGAAATCAGAGAGAACTTCCCTTTTGAATCAGGAAATCTACCAGTCCGTTATCTAGGCTTACCATTGATGACTAAGGCTATGACGGGACAAGATTATCTCCCATTGATAAAGAAAATCAGAAGCAGAATTAGCTCTTGGACAAGCAGATTCTTATCATATGGGGGAAGATTACAGCTGATCCGATCAGTCCTAATGAGTATCACAAATTTCTGGTCTTCAGCTTTTAGACTACCAGGGAAGTGTATGAAAGAGATCGAACGGTTATGTTCTGCTTTCTTATGGAGCGGTCCAGATTTAAAGACTCATAAAGCTAAAATTGCATGGCATGATGTTTGTATTCCTAAGTGTGAAGGTGGCTTAGGTCTCCGACCACTAAAAGAGACGAATAAGGTGTGTGGTCTCAAGTTAATATGGAGGTTACTTGCTTCTCGAACATCTCTCTGGGGGAAATGGATTCATACTTACCTCATTAGACATAACTCGTTCTGGACTATAAAGAAAACATCTTCTCAAGGCTCGTGGATGTGGCGAAAGATCCTTAAGTTGAGAGATACCGCCAAGGAATATCACAAGATGGAAATCAAAAGTGGTAAGAAAACTTCTTTTTGGTAGGATCAATGGTCCTTCATGGGAAGACTGGCTGATATACTCGGTGCTAGAGGGTGCATCAATCTTGGGATTACTAAAGTGGTATGATGATGGAAGAGGTGTTATTAAACAGCCGAAGGAGAAGGCACCGTGTAGAGCTGCTGAACAGAATCGAAGCTGAAATAGAAGAAGTTAAAACCAAAATGAAGCTTGGTGTTGAGACGATGTTAATCTTTGGAAGTGTCGGACAGGTTTTAAAAGGAATTTCTCAACATGTGAGACCAGGAAACTCATTAGAGTGGAAAGGCCAAGGCGCGATTGGGCAAAAGGGGTGTGGTATTCCCAAGCCACACCAAAGTTCGCCTTTATTACCTGGTTGGGAATGCATGATAGGCTTTCTACGGGAGATCGAATGTTAACTTGGAACCAACGGATTGACCCCTCTTGTTCCTTCTGTCAAGAGCCAATAGAGACGAGGAACCATCTCTTCTTCAAATGTTGCTACTCTAGTCAAATCTGGGACAAGATTTCAAAAGGGTTTATGAGAAATAACTACACCTTACGTTGGGACAGACTCATAAATCTCATCTCCTCCTCCACTCTTGAACCACGTCCTCGGCTCCTTTGAAGGTATGGGCTTCAATGCACAATCCACACAATTTGGAGAGAGCGAAATAACCGCAGGCATGGAGAACGTCCTCGATCAGCCCTTCACCTCGAGAAAATCATTGAAAAGACCATCCGCAATAGGATATATCTTATACGAAACCTGGGAAATAGAAAATATGAAGACCTTCTCATCTACTGGTTTTCTACTCGGTTATAAGTCTGTAGCATTAGAATCTAATTTTTCTCTTCTCAAAAACGAAGCACTTGATGTAACAACGGTTTTTTTGATGAATAAATTTTACATTCATTCAAAAAAAGAAAAAAGATATAAACTAAATTTTTGTCGAAAACAAGTTTTCAAAATCTGGAACAATCTGCTCTTTGGTGGACACACACGGGATAGATGGAAATTAGATTTATGTTACACAGATGAATACAAATCCTCAACAAATACGAGTTGGCATGTGCTTGAAGCTCGTGGAGAAAGTGCCAACTCCTTGATCATTTGAAGGTTTGGAACATAATGTTCCTCTGTATCAGCCAAGATTGTTGCCGTCTTTAAGTGACGAGCGTTTTTCAAGATATAAACCGCAATATCTCTATCTTGTGGTCTCCCATAGTATCGTGACCACTTTAATGTTTGTAGACTCGACAACAAGCATTCAGGAACGAAATTCGGTTGATTCCAGGAAACCGTACCATTAAGCTCATCCGTTGCATGATCCTAAGACCAAGCAGAAGAATAAGATTAAAACCATACTGGGGATCAGACAAACAAGAAATAGTTTAAATCGAAGAAACTTACTTTCACTACAGAGATGTCTAATATTCGTAAGTTAGGAGAATCCTTGAGTAACTGGCCAAAGAGATTCGACGAATCCTCTCTACACACACATAGGTTCAGATGTTCAAGCTCCTTGAAAACTAAACCATCATCATACACAACCTGCCCACAATATCAAAATTATTAACAGAGAGTTCTATAAATGAGATTGACAACTTGCAGTTGATAAAATGGAATAACTACCTCTGAACATATTGTAAGATGCTTGACAGATGTGATTGATTCAAGAACACTCTCGAGATTAGGGTAACTAACATCGACATACGCTTCCCGCAGCTTAGGCATATTCTTAATCAAAGAGTTGTGATCCAAATCATTCCAATCCTCAAGTTTCAAATAGCTCAAAGAAGGAGTATCTATCTCATACTCATCTAACAACCAATCATCAGGTATAACGAGTGATAAACTCAGCAAAGACGGGACGTTAATAGTGAACTCTTTCACATTTTCATCGTCATCACAACATACCGATAGATCTTCAAGAACAGGACAAATAGATAAAAGCTCTTGAAGCATTTCTTCATCTACGAATTTCACACTTTTAAGTTTCAAAGTTTTCAGAGAAGGGAGACAAACCATAGAGGGAATATCCATGAGAGTCACGCGTCTGAGTTTCAAGGTTACGAGCGATTTGCAGGTAAACAAGCTACTCGGGAATATGTTTTCATTTTCCGAATAATAATCAATTTTCAGCTCACGTACATGGCGAGAAACTGCGATTTCAATCCATCGTCTGATATCTTCAGGTTTAATAGCTGGGCCATACAAATCAAGACACAATCTTTCTATGAAGGGAGCTCTATGTAACGGTAACTTCCTGTCGATAAAATCCCTAAGTTCAGGCTTTCGAGAAATGAACTCTAGTCTAGGCAACCACATCCAAAGAAACTCCCAACGTTTAGACAAAATGCTAGTGGATACAGCAACTTTTGTTGGAACAAACGATAAAATCTTCATCACCACATCATCAGGCAATCCACTGATTCTGTCCATATCTTACCAAATTCAAGTTACTGTTACAGTCCAAAAGATACTTGTCTTCTCCTGAAAATGAAGAGAATCACAAGAAAACAACACCATACGACTCATAAGGATTCTTCTTAATCCAAGTAAACGAATTATCAAGCACATAGAGGAACCCTAGAAAAGAAAAAAACTGAAATTTTCAAAGCTGGAATGAGATAAAACCCTAGAAACTACCAGTGATTTCGATTCCACTTAGAAAACAGAACCAAAAGATAAATCAGAACCCTAGAAATTAGCACTACATAGCATTTGCTTACAGTGTGTTAGAGGAAGTGGGAGATCAGAAGATATCGGAATCGCAGAGAATCGTCTCCTCCATCAAAGTTTCAGAATAACAAAGCTTCAAGTTCATCGTCGTCACTCACACTCACACCGGTTCGTGTTGTGGGCCAGAATGGCTTAAACCCATAGTGGGCCTTGGGGAGGGCCAGAGACTCTTTTCTATATGGCGATGTGGAATGGTCGAATGGATGACGATGACTGAAGACAAAATACAGTAAAATCTCTATAAATTAATACTTGATAAATTAATAAACACAATAAATTAATAAATTTGGCCGGTTCCGAGTCAGACATGTGTAAAAATTAATCAAATTCAATAAAATAATAAGATAATAAGTTTTTTGAAATCTCTATGTAAAAATTAGTTCCAATAATATCATAAATTAATAATCATGTAAATTTACATATATATATATATATATATATATATATATATTAGTTTTAGTGTTTTTCATTAAAAATAGTCAAAAGTTTTTGTAAGTTTTCAAATTTTGAATATGCATAATTTTTGTTTTAATAGTCGTATAGGTTTTTAAAATACAACAATGGATGTCACTATTTGTGAATTTTAATTTATGTATATCGTTTGTATATGTGAATTTTCTAATCGTTGTTATTCATTGTCAAAATAAATTATTTTCTCTTCAAAATAATAAGTATTTAAGGCTAAAACTATAAAATTTATAACATCCAAAACATTAGTTTCATTTAGTACGCATTACTTTAGCTCGTATTTTTAGTGAAAATTTTATAGAGGAAAATCCTATAAATTAATATCATTATAAATTAATAAAATATCATGGTCCCGACATTATTAATTTATAGAGGTTTTACTGTAGTTCATTAGTATTTTATTTTTTGTGATTTGTAAATGTGATTGTTTTGATTTTGATTTTTTTCCCCTTAAATTGAAATATTTTTTTATGAGATAATTGGCTCATAGACAATCGATCCAAGACTAATAAAATTTACGGAGTTATGCTTTTAAGCCCATAACAATGATAAGTTTAACCCATTATTTTCCTCTTTTTACCCTCACGCGCCCATAATCAGTTCATCGCCTTCTCGGAACCGTATGAACATGGCATCTTTCTCAGCCGCCGCTGTGAATATCCAGACCCCGCCGTCATCCTTACTCCAGCAACCAATCACCACACGTACCATGCCGCTAATCAAGTCATTCGTGACCTCCATCTCGAACTTCTGTTAACACACAACTTAGAGTTAGTTAACTACGGTATACAATTACGATTACTCAACTTATGTTCCCATTTCGAAGTAGTAAAGCGTGTATGTTGTAAGTGCGGATGAGGTAAGATAAATTGTAGAAAGTAAACGAGACAAGAAATTTGTTAACGAGGTTCGGTTTTTCCTACTCCCCGGGACCAAGTCCAGATTTCGATTTCACTAGAACAAGAAAGCAAATTACAACCAATTAACAAACGCGTAAAACAAGCCCAACCCTCTTGATTTACCGCTCCCTTCTATAACGTGAAACCTTAAGGATAATCTCTACCCTTAACTAAACTCCCCTTGAGTCTAGATTTAATCAGGATAACCTAACCCTGAGCTAAACTCCCCTTGAGCCTAGACTTCAAAACAAAACCACTTGATCACACAAAGCACAAAACCCGCAAAACTAAGTTGCACAAAACCGCGAAACTATGTCGCACACACCCTCTGAAAGCTCTCAATGATTTGCCTCTATGCCTCAGCTCTCTTGCTCCTCAAAGACGTCCTCAGCTCCTCCTTATATAGCCAAAACGATTTCCTAATCACCATAGGAGAAGATTTCCAATTTCCATAAGAAAAAGTAAATTTCCTTTTATACTTTTCCTTTTTCTCACCAAACTCCACTTTCATCAAGTCTTCCAAATCTCTTTAAGTCCTTTTTCCTTTGTGATTCATCCTCTAAACACGCTCCAAACATATCTTCTCAAACCTTCTAGAAACCGACACTCACACAAAAACAGTCGCATCTTGACTTACTTCTTGAGTCATTCAGCAACTCCATCAGACAAACTCTTGTATTACTTCTTGACTCATTCAACAACTTAATCAGACTGCAGCTACATCTTCAATCTCCCCCTTTTTGACTATGTTTGTGAACTCAACAGTTCTAACTCCAAAACAACATCACGAAACACATCATCATTCTCCCCCTGAATGAGTCACAACATGGTCAAAACTACTTAGAAAATTCTCCCCGCTTTGCAATACGAGGTTGATAGCCTAGTACACCACCTCCATAGAAATCATCTTTCCTAACCCAAATCTTCATGCGCCTTAAGCCTTCATGACTGGATTCTCGAATGAATCTGAAACAATTCCTCTTAATATGCCCTTGAACTCCACAATGATAACATGTAGGACCATGAAATCTCTTATCATAAGCATTCTCCATTCGATTTCTCTCCCTCAACAATCTGAAACACCTTGGCCTAATATGCCCAACAATACCACAATGATGGCAAACAGGTCGAAAAACTCGTTGAGGTGCACTCTGCAGTTCTTTAACTTTTCCTGTATCAGACTCTGTACCAGTTCTCGTAGTAGTTCTTGTACCGGATGCAGTCTCTGCCATAGTTGCAGTTTCTGACACACTTCCTGATCCAGACGTGATTTTTCCACCATAAACAAACACTGGATCTGATTTTGAAAGTTTTCCTTCAAATCCAAGGCCACACTTATCAATCTTGCCAATATTCAGAATATGATCCAACTTCTTTGTGCCATTATTAAGCATCCTCAAATTCTTTTGAGTTTCTTCAAGTTGTACTTTGGCTTGTGATGCTTCTTCTTCTTTTTCTGCAGCATATTTCTGTACTTCAATGACTTTAGCCTCTAACTTGAGTTTCTCCTTAGTTAACACTGAATTCTCTTCAACCATTTTAAGCCAATGCTCATATAAGGCTCTATAATTCTCAGCAAATTCTTCATCATCAACACTCTCTGCATCACTATCACATTCATCGTTTTCACTTTTAATTACAGGTCCTGTTGCAGATGCTGATGCAGACCCTGTTGCAGATGTTGATGCAGACCCTGTTGCAGATGCTGATGCAGACCCTGTTGCAGACACTGATGCAGACACTAATTCAGAGACTGACGCAGAATCTATATCTGAACTAGAATTGAAAGTTGTCAAAGCCACAAAATTCTTCAGATCTTCTTCTTCTTCATCTGAATCAGTTTCAGAATCACTAGTGACAACATTCATGGCCTTCTTCTTATGCTTTTGTAGATTGGCGCATTCCGAACGAACATGTCCATATCCTTTGCATTCAAAACATTGCACATTCTTTGATGAACTTCTCAACTCTTCATCAATTCTATCCTTCCTCTCTTTTCCCTTTCGTTTCAGATATTTAGTAAACTGTCTTGACAACATAGCCATTGAATCTTCAGTTGATGATCCTTTAAGAGCAACTCCAATGTCAACTTCCTTCTTCACTTCATCTACCTTCTTCATCTTTCCTTTAGCTTCATATGCTTTGCTTAACTCAAAAGCTTGAAGAATCCCAACAAACTCATCAAAAGCCATCTCATCTAGATTATGAGCTTCTTCAACTGCAGAAATCTTTGACTCAAATTTTGCAGGCAATGATCTCTTCAACTTCTTCACTAGCTTTTTGTCCTTGTAGACCTTTCCAAGAGCAAACGATTCATTAGATATGTCACCTAACTTTGCACTAAAATCAGCCACAGTTTCCTCTTCTTCCATCCTTAGATTCTCAAATTGCGAAGCCAACATATCCAATTTCGTTCTCTTAACACTTGTAGTACCTTCAAACATATTCTCCAATGTCTTCCATGCTTTTTGAGCTGATGCACATTGAGAAATCAACTTAAAGCGGCTTGAATCAATAGCATTGTAAATTGCAGTCTTAGCCTTAGAATTGCAACTTGATAGCTTTTTCTCTGCAGCAGTCCACTTATCTCTTGGCTTGAGACTTACAACTCCATCATCATCCGTAACTTTAGGAGCCTCCCAACCAAGTTCAATTGAATTCCAACAATCTTCATCAAGATTACTAATAAAAGCTTGCATACGAACCTTCCAATATCCATAATTCGCTGAATCAAGAAGTGGTGGTCTTGTCATAGATGTACCTTCCTTGTATGACTCCATCTCACACGATTCACAGCTCTGTCTTACTTTCTGAACGATCTCCTGAACAATCTTCTAAAGAATCTCCTAAACCTCACCCTGATCTACCCGAAACATGACTAAATCTCTATCGAGAACCCGCTCTGATACCAATTGTAAGTGCGGATGAGGTAAGATAAATTGTAGAAAGTAAACGAGACAAGAAATTTGTTAACGAGGTTCGGTTTTTCCTACTCCCCGGGACCAAGTCCAGATTTCGATTTCACTAGAACAAGAAAGCAAATTACAACCAATTAGCAAACGCGTAAAACAAGCCCAACCCTCTTGATTTACCGCTCCCTTCTATAACGTGAAACCTTAAGGATAATCTCTACCCTTAACTAAACTCCCCTTGAGTCTAGATTTAATCAGGATAACCTAACCCTGAGCTAAACTCCCCTTGAGCCTAGACTTCAAAACAAAACCACTTGATCACACAAAGCACAAAACCCGCAAAACTAAGTTGCACAAAACCGCGAAACTATGTCGCACACACCCTCTGAAAGCTCTCAATGATTTGCCTCTATGCCTTAGCTCTCTTGCTCCTCAAAGACGTCCTCAGCTCCTCCTTATATAGCCAAAACGATTTCCTAATCACCATAGGAGAAGATTTCCAATTTCCATAAGAAAAAGTAAATTTCCTTTTATACTTTTCCTTTTTCTCACCAAACTCCACTTTCATCAAGTCTTCCAAATCTCTTTAAGTCCTTTTTCCTTTGTGATTCATCCTCTAAACACGCTCCAAACATATCTTCTCAAACCTTCTAGAAACCGACACTCACACAAAAACAGTCGCATCTTGACTTACTTCTTGAGTCATTCAGCAACTCCATCAGACAAACTCTTGTATTACTTCTTGACTCATTCAACAACTTAATCAGACTGCAGCTACATCTTCATATGTCTTGTCAGACTTCCGGTTATCGTCTGACTCTTGGTTACTATTATACATTTATGTATTTATATACATGTTCATTAATTAGCTATAGATATCTATATTTATAAATACACGTCTACTTGTTCATGTACAACTACATATACATTGAGTCAGTCAACTATGGCAATCCAAGGTTTTATACATGCTCTTGTACTTGTTTTCGTGGAGACTGTCCCGGCCACGCTTTCAGTAGTTAGTGATGGAACCAACCCATACTTTGGCGATGACGATGTCTTTCATGTAACTTATTTGAAATTAGACAAAGTATAAGACCTAGATGGATAAGATGAAATATATTATACATTCATGTATTTAGATATCTATATTTATAAATGCACATATACTGGCTTATGTACTTCTACATATATAATGAGTTTTACTCATGTTGTTAACTATGTAGACGTATATATTAAAATATTGATGTGCAAGTACATCTTATGTTGGACATGCACAGCTGGAAGTTCGGTGGTAGGCCACGTAAGGGTCATTTATTAGTTTAACTGGTTGGCATTTAAGAATTGTCAGAATGTTCTTTCGATTATTTTAAGGCTGTGTTGGTACCGCCCACTCCCATGCATTTCACGAGCTCTGGTTCTTCTGTAATAAATATGTAAACCAGACCCATTTTCACTAATTATTATTCTATCGTTAGAGATAACCAACCATAATGTAGAATTCCTAATTTATGTTTCCATTTTTCTTTCTGCACTAATTCACTCTTTTTTTATTATATCCAATACTTTTTCATTTAATTTGATATTTTTGCAATTGTTTACAAGATACAGTATGTTGGAAATGAAAATATAAGCAAAATTATATGATGGTTTTCTAATAAATCTTATTCACTAACATATTTTGTTTTTCATATATTTAAATTATATCTATGTTTTTCCATATAAGTTGATTGAAGCACAAATTAAAGTTGATTTCACCTCCATCGTAATTTTTCTATTAAGTAAATCAAGTTAAATTCAACTCTTTATTAAAAGAAAAAGTTAAATTCAACTAAGAAAATGTAGTCAGAAGAGAATTTCAAGAGGAAGTATGAGATATGAAAAATAAGATTAGAAGAATAAAAGATGAACAAGGAGATGTGCAAGATAGGAAATACTGTTAAACCTAACTGAATTTCTCATTAATTAAAATTGAATTGTACGACATGGCTTTATACATAGGAAAATATGAGTTAAACATAGTCTTAAAAACTTTTTATTTTCTTGGAACTTAAAAAAATTATTTACAAAGTAATATTTTTTTAAAAAACGAAACAGTTTGAAAGAAAGCGGAAATGAAACAACATAACAGATTATAGACTATAGTTAAATAGAGTACAAACATAGTCTAAAAATTTCTACGTGTGGTTTAACTTTAAACTATGGTCAACATTTGATACTTCATATATTAAATTACATATCAAAATCTTTGACATATAATGTTTAAAATACATATCACAAAAAAATTATATACACTAAAAGTACTTACCAACAAAACAATGTATACACATAATAAAGCATATTCACTATCAATACATTGTATTCTTTTATTAATTTTTCAAAAGTGTGTTTTATGCTAACATTACTTACCAATTAAAATTTCAATTTTCAAAAAATAACCTAGTCAACTTACCAAATGATATTTTTAAGAAAATCTTAATTAAAAAGAAAAAATCAGATAAAAATTCTAAAATAATCTTTTTAACACCGTTTGGTAAGTTGACTAGACTCATACAAATTCGCTGCGTTGCGAAACATTGGATTATCATCTCTTTACTCTTAAGTCTGAGGCGGATGAATAAAACAGTCTTCTTCCTTTTGAATCTCACAGATCTATCACCATTTTTGCTTCTTCACTCCTCCATTGACTAGGTTAAGCTCTCTCTGTCTCTCAATCTTCAAACTTCTTCGTTTCTTTTCTTACTCCTGTTGGAAGATTTGTTGTTCCCGACGAAGCCTTCGTGTCGTTTCATCTCCTTCTTCAAATTTTCCTAAATTTCTTCGCGAGTATATGCTTTAGGTTTTGAATTGAGTAGATTAAGCACTGTTTTTGATTTGTAAAATCTTGAACCCTAGTTGTTTTCACAAATTGATTAACTATGGATATGCAATGTAATCTTGAAGTCTTCAACCCTAATTTTCTGGATTTTCATTTGGTTTCTGGGTAGGCGAAACGAGCTTGGATTGAAATTAATCGCTCTTGGAGCTGGGATTTTTGTTAGATTGAGATATTACTTTCTTGTTTCTTCCTTCTTAGCAATTACGTTAATTAAATGTTGAATTTTGTTGTTTAAGGGATCTTGTGTGGCTTGATTTGGATTTGATTTGTTGATTCTTTGCTTTAGGGAACTGAATCTTGTGTGCTTTATTTTGGATATGATTCTTTTGGTCTTGAATTAATGGTTCTATTTAATGTGTATTTTGTTATTGCATTTCTGATACTGTAGTTTCTTGTAACAGGGTATTTTTATGGGTGGTTAGTGAAATTGTTTTGAGGATATAAGCTTTTAATTTTGTTTTAAAATGGAAGCTGAGGATGTGCTTGACCTTGAATCTGGGAATGGGTCTCCTGAGGCTAATTCTTTAGTTGGTAATGATGAGAACATGAAAGGAAATTTAGATGTGGAGAAGGATTTGGATTTAACGGAAGAGAATTTGAGAACTGTCGGTGGCGGGGAGTCTGGGGAAATATTAACAGAGCAGGTTAGTGATGTGTTCAATGCTAGTGTGGCGGTAGATGAGAAAGTGGGTATCCAAAAGGAGACACTAGTTCACCGCACCACTTTGGATGTTAGTTGTATCCTTCTTTTGCTCTTCTATATATAAGGTTGCTTGCATTCTCTGACCTTTTCTTTGTGATAAGACATGGCACTTGATCTGTTTCTGTAATTATTTGCTGCTCAGAGTCTCAGACTTGATGTCTGTGATTATGTTATCTTCTTCTGTTTTTTCCGTAATTCCTTATGTCAGCTAAAGCGGGTGTGAAAAGACCCCGGACATCGTTTGACGAACAGCAATCTACAGTCCATGTTACTTATAAGGACTTAACAAGGTTAGATGAAAAAAGAGTCATAACTCAACTGCATGTAATTTTAAGTTGCATCATATGGTATTTACGTTTGAACTTAAAATTGGAATGCTCAAGCATTTCTGTTATTATGCGATTCCCAGCTTTACCACAATGTTTTAATTGTTAGTGGACTGCATCTTTCAGAGCTAGTAAACAGAAGCTGGAAAGTTTATTACGGCAATGGTCAGAATGGGAGGCTGAAAATACGTCCTTGGTTCAGGTATCTCTGAATGGAGAAGGTCATCTTACTCTCTAAAATGTTATTTGTAGCGAAAGATAACAGTGACTGTTATCATCTTTCAATATTTGATCAATTTAGATTTTGTTAAGAGAATCCTTATTGTATATCGAGCTGAATAAAACATGATACTAGATTGTTTACCATATAAAGTATCTATTATCATGCATGCTGTAGATCTCCGATATTCTGTCCTTGCTTTAAATAGGTCATAGCCATATTAGTACTGAGATACCGACTATTTGTTGTATGTAAAAGTTTTACTAAGGCATGTTTATCATATTCCCGAATACCGAACTCTTTTAGTTCATATGATAAAGATTTCAGACTTTACATAGGGAACTTCTTGTGACTAGGTTTTTATTCGAATAAAATTTTTGACTCAGGATCAAGTACAGCCATTAGAATCTGGTGAAGAGACATATTTCCCTGCCTTACGTGTTGGATTGCAGAAGACTTCGTCTGTGGTGAGTGAAAATGTTGTCAGCGCTATTAGAACTTCTTAACTATTCATATCAGTAATCTTCATGACATGCCAATTGGTGCATTCTTGCATATGCAGTCATTCTGGATCGACAACCAAACTGGTCCAAAGCCGCTGGAAGAGTTTGTTCTAGTGGAAAGTAGCACCACTCCTCTTTATGACCGTAAATTTGCAATTGGTTTAAATTCAGCAGATGGCTCAAGAAACTTGGAAGGGTAAATGGAATCTAAAATTTGTAACAACTTCCACCTGTTTCTTATTTTATCTTCCACAGATCGTGATACATCCTTTAATTCTGCTTTGCTTACATTTGCTGTAGATTGACCTAACAGTGAATGTTGTAGTGGTCTTGCAATGGGTGCATTCATGTAATATATTTAATGTATTTATTGTTTCAGGGGATTGGAGAATATTGATGATGATCCTCCACGTTGCTTCAATTGTGGTGCCTATAGTCATTCCTTAAGAGAATGTCCAAGGCCTTTTGATCGATCAGCGGTTAATAGTGCTCGGAAGCTTCAGAAATCTAAACGAAATCAGAGTACTAGTGGGCCCCGTCTACCATCGAGATATTATCAAAAACCTCAAAGTGGAAAGTATGATGGTTTAAAACCCGGCACACTTGATGCAGAGACACGTCAGCTTCTGAATCTTGGGGTAATTTTGAACCTTTTTCTGTGTATTGTTTTAACAAAATGAGTATTCTAATCAGTTCCTTTCCTCTTGTGAAGGAACTAGATCCTCCTCCTTGGCTTAACAGAATGCGAGAGATTGGGTACCCTCCAGGATACTTAGGTAAGCCTTTCTGCTCTGTTTTACTATCAGGTTATGTACATCGAAACTATACCAGATGTTCTCATGCCTTCTCTTGTATCCTGGGGTACGTCTCTAGCTCCAGAAGATGACCATTTGTCTGGAATAACTATATTTGGAGAAGAGGTGGAGACTCGGGAGGAATTAGAGAGTGAGGATGGGGAAATCTTGGAAAAAGCAAACTCTCCAGAGCCACAAATGAAAAAGACAGTTGAGTTTCCGGGAATTAACGCTCCCTTCCCAGAAAACGCAGATGAGTGGCTTTGGGAAGCTGCACCTTCACATAGGAACAGCAGCAGAAGCGGCCGATGGCAACAACAAAGAGCAAGCAGAGGACTTGATTACAGAGACGATGGTCAGCTTGGTGTTGAATCATCCAGTTATCCTCCAAGGTATGGCAGTAGATATGATTACGGGTATGGTTCAAACGATTATAGTTCTAGATCAAGAAGTCCGGGCATAGATAGATCTGTATCCGAAAGAAGTAAGAGGGATTATTCTTCTTACGATGCTGATTTCCGAGAGAGAGATAGAGATAGAGACAGGAACAGAGATAGGGACAGAGAAAGAGACTGGGATAGGGACAGGGACGATCGTGATTGGTCTTATAGATTAAGCAACAGAAGATAAATTGTGAGATTGTTAGCTATGTATGTGTGTATGTGGAGGTTAGGGTTTCATTTTCTACTCTCTCTTTCCCTCTCTCTATGTTGGTTTTGTTGTTGTATCATGTCCATGAAAGTGGAAGCTTTTTTCTAGTTATCAGACTTTGGCTTTTGAAGCTTAAGGTTTTACTATTTTGGGTATGTCTTCACCTCTTAAAATGGAAAGTTAGTTACTCATGTTTCTTAATACAGACTATACAGTAGATGTTTGGAAATGTTACACAAAGATACATGAGAGATTATTTGTTACGCAATCATTTTCGATGCGTTGATTGACACAAAAACCTACAAAAGAAAACAAAAAAAAAAAGCCTAAAATGTCTTCATTGAAAACGATTTAGAAAGATAGAGATGTGATAGAAGAAGAGAGCATATTGATAATACAAAGAGCAATCTGGCCCAATTTAAACAACTTGTAATTGTCACCACCAATTGGAGACGTCCACGTCATCGCACCACCACCACCGTCGTCTCTATCCCTAAACCCATCCTCACACGTCACGGCGGATTCCATGGCTGTGGTAACCATCACATTCACCGTCCCTAACTCTTTCCTTGCAATAAAAACTCTCACTGCCTCCTCTAATCTATCCGCAGCGTCCTCGTAAAGCTCAAGGCAGTCACGAAGGCAAGCACCGCGGAAACCACCGTCGTCCTCACTTATCAGAAGCTGTTGAATGGTGGTAGCGGTCGCAGTGGCGTTGTCGAGAGCTTGAAGCATTGGAACTAGGGCAAGAGAAGAAAGATTGGTCGGAGAAGGAAGATCGATTGGTGAGTTGTTGAGAGAGGAGACACAGAAGTTGTAATTGAAGATCGTGGATTTCGCTGCGCAAGATTTGCAGGTTTGTTCGATCATATCGGACGTTGAGTTTACTTGTGAGACAAGGAAGAATAAGAAGATAATGTAGAAAACTTGAGAGAGCTTCATTGTTTTTTTAGTTAAGAGATTCTTCTTAATTCTTTTGTTTGGTTATATATAGAGAGAGATGAATGTGTGTATGTACGACGTCGTTTTTGTGTTGTGGGAATATTTGACTATGTAAGAACGTTGAGTAAAGTGTCATCAACAATGGGTTTCACTTGCTTCTACTCTAATACAAATGTACTGCTCAAGCAATTGTTTCGGTATTATGAGATCATTCTGCGTTAAATGTAAATTAGAAGAAAATTAAAGTTGTCAAATGTCATTATTGCATGGACAATCACTTTTGAAAAATGATTCAAATTCAAAGTGAGAAATTTGCTTCAAATTTTATTTTTTGGGTTAATTAAGTTTCACTTCGAAGATAATACCGTTCTTTACGATTACATTTTTCAAAAGATTTTTATTATTACCAGAAAAAAGTCAAAGAAAAAAATTATTACTAAATTACCTGCGGTAGACTTGTTTTTGATTTTATAGCAGCTTTCTTAGCTTTTTAGCTTCATCCCGCTCCTTCACCAGTTGAGCATTTCTTGCTTCACCGATCTCGTTGATAGCTTCCGTCATCTTTTATCATCCTTTGAAACCTCAAGGAGATGTGCTCCTGTTTTCTTGAGGTCGTATGTAATCCAGCCATCAACAATTTCATTGAGCTTTGTTAACTGAGACTCGTTCACTGTTCTTCCTCTGAGAAGTGAGATATTTTCCTCAAGCAAGGAGGCCTCAAACTCACCCATCTGCTTGGAATTTTCTTCAAATAGGATTTTTCCATACTTGTGCTTGAAGGAATACTTACCCACATCAACAGAATCAGAATCAGAAAACTCTGTAACAATCTTGTCATGCCGAGGAAGACTCTCCTGGATTTTTGTAGCTCCCACCCAGCTCAACTTCCCCCAACTGTCGGACAAACGAAAGGTTGGGTTTTGGAATGATGATTCGAAGAAGTGATGGTTTTGTGGATTGAGGTGAGGAAAAGCTTGAAAACTTTGGCTCTTTCCATTTTTCTCTCAAGATTTGTTCTCTGCAATTTTTTGCTTTTAGAATTGTGATGTGAAAGAGTTGAGATTGCTTTTAGAATTCTCCATTTCAAATATACATATAAACTTAATATTTCTTTTGTTCCGATTTAGAAAATCTCTAATGGTAATTGCTTTTTTTTTTTTTTTCCAACTAATTGTGAGCAATTTGATTTTCAATTTTTAACAGATTTAATAGAAAATGGTTGAACAACAACGAAATCGACAAGCTCCTCAAGAATCTACATTACTTAGACAATATGTTAATGATCAAAGTGAGTTTGGAAACGGTTTATTAGTTGTTTTAGTTGTTTAGTTTTTTTAGTTCAAACTTATTTGATAGGTTTGATAGGTTCCAACTCTCAAACTCATGTACATAACAACACAAAACTAGTACACATATACATTATGTCTTGATTACCTTTATCTTGATTATCTTTGTTTTGATTAAGAAAAAGATAAAGAATCATTTAGTTAACTTATTTTCCTATATTGAAATGAACTTACAATTTAACTAAGGAAAAACTACATTATTCCTATTATCTATGTCATTGTTTATATCTTTTGTTCCTCCAATGTTAATGCTATTCGATCATTTTGTACGAAAAAAATAAAATTAAAAATTCTCATATATTTTTGTTCACTACAAAAATACAAAAATTTTGTCATAGAAAGATTAAAAAAACAAACTTTTTTACTTCTATGATACATACATCCCATAGTTACTCAAAACAAAAATTATATTTATTAATTGACATTTCACCCAAGTTCATAATTAAGGTAGTATGTATTTGACTTTGGCAGTGAAGATCTTAAAAAATGTGTATTTCTATGAGATATTATATGAAATATTGAAAATCTTCAAAAAAATATCTTCCTATAATTCTTCATGCATCCATTTTTTTCATTTATTTGTGCATCTTCTACTTAATATTTTTCTTAGGTATCGTTTCCTCATACATATTCTTGGAGTGGAATTCGCACCTTCGAATCCACCTACGTAAACATTAATTGGGCACTTAGATTTGTACTAGGCCCTTCAGCCCACGAAGAATAAATGCGCAACTAGCAGCAGATCAAGAACAAGTCAAAAGGAAATTTTGGAACGGACCTGAAATATAGGAACAGTTGGCGCGGACCTCGGACCAAATGACCTAGTGAAGACCTATATAAAGAGTGAGGATGACGTGGAGAAGAGGATGATGGCCTACCTGCTATAAACACCTAGCACTTTACATACTTGTATTGACAAAATATCTCATGTACTCACTCAATTATCATCAATAAAATGCATTCGTTCTTAAAAATTAAATTCTCAGAGTTTCATTAAAGATCTAGCCCTTTTTCTCATAAAACCTAACTACAAATCTCGAGTGTGGATTTTAACATCCACACATATGAAAACAAACATGGATGACTTACATCATCGTCGACAAGTCGTGATGTAGTTGTTTGGCAAGTTGTTCATATTACTTACGTCAACGTAGAGAAGTTTGTAAAGAATAAATATTGCTTTAGCCTACAAAGAGAAAAATGGACATTTGAAAAATTAATCACTAAAGAAACATTCAGAAAGAAATATAAAGTATAATTTATATATTTTTACCGTGTTTATACCAGCGTTCAAATGTATATTTTTCAACAGTAACACATGTGAATCTCAATCTCATGGACTCTACGGAAAAAGTTGTGGTCATGCCCTCTTTTTGTTGGTCGTAAGAGAAAAAATATTCACTTAACTATCTATTTGTTGTATGCGGTCCAAACGAGCTGATCTGTCTTAGTCCTAAAAAAAAGTTTATGATCAATCCGTTTGATATCTCCCTATACATGAAGGCATATTGTAGTAGATTTATTATTTTTTTTTTTAGTGAAAAATCAAACCGTAAAAAGTGGCCATTTAAAAGATATTTTTTTTAACACGAAAAGCAAAGTATATATTCCTAAAATTAAAAAATATAATAATGTTTCGGGCAAATCGCTCTGGTTGACTTCAAAAGTCGAGTAATTGTAATAATCCTGCATCGCCGATCTAAAACAGAGCCGGTGGTTTCTTCTTCATTCAGAAATCCCCAAAATTCGACTAAAAACTAAAACCCTAACCCTAATTCATCCTGATTTTGATCGCCGTAGAAAGTATAATCGACTCTCATTTCCGAGCATAAGATGGTGGTTCCGGTGCTGGGTGGATTCCCGATCTTCATGGTAGTGAGAGTTTTGGGTCTCATCATCGCGGCTTTGGTTTTGACATGGACTGTTCATTACAGAGGAGGCTTAGCTCTTTCTTCTGATAACAAAGATCACATCTTTAATGTAATTTGATTTAGATTGTTGTTCCTGTTGCTGTGGTCTGAGATTCATATTTCTTTATTGTGTTGTTGAGATATTGAAATTTGGATTTTACTTTTCTGTGTGTGATCACAAGTTGTGATCTTGGGATGCATAATGTTCTCAATCCAAAGATGTATCTGATGATGTCAAATTTCTTTGTTTGCAGGTCCATCCAGTGATGATGGTGATTGGACTCATTCTCTTCAATGGAGAAGGTAAGCAAATAATCTCCTACACATGTTTCCTTATGTTTTAGATATATTTGTTACTTATGAGCACGTTGACATTATTGATTTGTGTTTCTTTTCTTGAGGATGTTTTGTTAGCGTTTGTAGGAGTTTAGCGTCTTAACTTCATATCATAGACTTGAAATTGTAGTATGTCCCGTTCATCCGTCTGGCGACTATTCTAATGTCAAGAGGTTCAGTATTCATTGAATTGGGTTTCATGTTCGATTACCGCATTCTTCATCTGGACTGTGATGTTCTTCAAATTGCCTTTTTCTAACATTTGAATAGATTGATATTATTTGTCAAGAGGTTGAGGATTCATAGTAACATTTTTCTTGTTTAATTACCGCATTCTTAATTCGTCAAAGAGACCATGGACATGTTATGGGATTTTCAGTTTTTCGTTTCTAACATGTTGGGTACCTTCAACTTATGCAGCAATGTTAGCATATAAGTCAGTTCAAGGTACAAAGAACTTGAAGAAATTGGTTCATCTTACACTACAACTCACAGCTTTTATTCTAAGCCTGATCGGAGTATGGGCGGCTCTCAAGTTCCATATTGACAAAGGGATCGAAAATTTCTACAGTCTCCATTCATGGCTCGGCCTTGCTTGCCTCTTTCTCTTTGCATTCCAGGTACACTCTCTTCTGACTTCTCTTAAGACAACAATCTCCATTACTCGTAAGAATAAATACCAAGAACTCAAATCTATTGTTACAAACAGTGGGCTGCAGGGTTTGTGACGTATTGGTACCCGGGTGGTTCAAGAAACAGCCGAGCCAGTTTGATGCCATGGCATGTATTCTTAGGAATTTACATATATGCATTGGCGTTAGTGACTGCAACCACAGGGATACTTGAGAAGGCGACGTTCCTGCAAGTGAATCAGGTGATAACTCGGTATTCCACAGAGGCAATGTTAGTCAACACAATGGGCGTTCTAATTCTTATTCTTGGCGGTTTCGTGATACTCGGTCTGGTTACTCCGGTCAATGGCAAGGATCATGTTCTCACACAATAGAGTAAAACCTCAAAAAGATCTCTTTCAACATTTCGACCTATCGAAACATTGTTTATTTAAGAGACCATTTGTGATGTAATTGAGTTTTGTTGAAGTGATTTATTGAGCAGTGCATACCCATTACCCTAATGTATTACAAATAACGCATGAGAACACATGTTGGCCCATGGCAAATACTGAACCAAAAAAAAATTGGCATAGAATCTGAGAAAGATTTGTATCAAACTCTATGAGAAGGGAGAGTAAGAGAAGCCTCACTCATACATCACAGACAAAGAAAAACATCACCGATATTGATAAAATCTTCCCGGAGAGGCGGATGATGAATCGCACTCTTCACAGAGTCAAAAGTTACTAAAAACATGTCAAGGCCAAAAAAATGAATCCGGTACTCAGGAAAAGAAGCGGGTGAGGGAGGCAGTGCCAGTAGTTATTCTATGCGGGTTGTGACGAGAAGAGCCTGAGCTAGAGGAAGGGGTTGGAGAAGAAGAGCTTTCGCAAAAACGAATTTTGCTTAGACAAGCAAGTGTTCTTTCTGATATTCTCTCACGATGACAGGCACGCTTGTGGGAGGTACCTGAATAAGGAAACATG